CACACAGATCTATTTATCCCTCAGAGGTAACACACAGATCTATTTATCCCTCAGAGGTAACACACAGATCTATTTATTCCTCAGAGGTAACACACAGATCTATTTATCCCTCAGAGGTAACACACAGATCTATTTATCCCTCAGAGGTAACACTCAGATCTATTTATCCCTCATACGTGACACCAGATCTATTTATCCCTCAGACGTGACATACAGATCTATTTATCCCTCAGACGTGACACACAGATCTATTTATCCCTCAGACGTGACACACAGACAGATCTATTTATCCCTCAGACGTGACAGACAAATCTAGAAGTTTGCTAGGAAAGAAGGAGCAAACCACACCATAGCACCCCCCAACCACCCTTTAATCAATACGCCATGAGGGTGACACATTAAAAAGAGGTGCCAAAAAATCTCGCGATAGGTGTCGCTAGCAGGAACCTGTTCTCGCCGCTAGGTGTCGCTAAATGGGGCCTGTTTTGGCCGCTAGGTGTCGCGCAGCTTGGCTCTGTTCTCACCACTGTGTGTCGTGTGGTACCTTTATGGCGAGTGAGATCTTCTCTCCTGACTACCTGACTCACGGCTGCGTGGCCGTTACTGCAACTGTTGAGATTTTGTCTTTCCATCTATGCACATGATAAATTAACCCTATCCGTACGTCGTGTTTTCTTATCGTATCCATACGATGTGGGGAACTCTGTGCCACCACTTTCCAAAGAGGAAATTTGCTCGTTATTCCGATCCGTACGCTTTGCATAGCAGTCTGTCAAAATGATTATTTGAGAAATACTGAAAGTTTCAAAGAGATCTTCGTACTAGAAGTATTCTAAAATGTGAAGAATACAACCGCAGGGGTACAAAATGACCCCAGGACGTACGGATAGGGTTAATGCATCCTCTTAGCACATAAATAGGTCAGTAGGTCAACACAGCAGAACCAAAATGGCGGCTAGCTGATTAGAGGTGGGCAAAATCCGGATAAATATCCGGATAATCGGGTAATCATCAATAAGTACATTATCCGAATTCAGACCCTTTACTCCCTTTCCTGCCCGTTTGCCGAAGTGGGTGCACCCATTTGTTGAAGTGATGTTAACCCGTTTGTCAAAGTGGTTCTAACCCATTTGTTGAAGTGATGCTAACCCGTTTGTCAAAGTGGTTCTAACCCAGTTGCCGAATCGGTTCATAACATACTATTTATCGAAGAGATGCACCAACGTATTTTCCGGATTTTGTTAAAGCGACTCATTGCCCAGCCCTACAGCTGATGGCTGCCCAGAACCGAGTTATTTCCCTGTTGTTCAGAGGTTCAGGGGCTGGAGCAAAGAAAGGAGTTTGGCTTTTTCTCCAAGTGACCTATTTTAAGGAAATTTCGCCGACAAAAACCTAGAAAGTCAGCAGCGACATTTGGAGTAGATTGTTCTTCTTTCTGAGTCTGTGATAAAGGTGGCTGTGTCAGGCCGGGAAACGCCAGGATCC